AATCAACGATTCTTTGACCGATGATCATGGGACACGGCGGGTACACAGTAATAATAAGATTATTTCCCTGCCATTATCTTGAATGCCGAGTCCAAATCTTAACATGATTTCATTTGGCAAAATTTTTGGCTTGCACTAATGTGTGTGATGTTATGAGAGATAGAGCTATTTTGATGTTTTGTATACAATGGGAGAATTCCATAGAAGCAGGAAATGTAATCAACTACTCGATGGACAATATCTTTATGGAATTTACTACAATTGGGCTTTGACATTCTTCTATTATTTTTGCTCTGTTTAAGGGTGAGAGTGAGTTTTGACAGTTGGGATGAACAATTTCATCTCCTTACACCTATCTCGAAGAATACCTATAGCAAACTTTCTTTTGAGAGAGGTGAGAGTTTCACTAGACTTACTCCTCGACCTAGGCTCACAACTTCGATTGCTACCATTTCTAAGCGTCTTGATATCCTTTCCCTAGATGCGGGGATTATGCAGTGGGAGTTGCATGGCCTTACTGAGCGTTCAAGCCATTATGCAGAGTAGCATCAACGCCAGTACCAGTTTCAGGCTCGATATCATACGGCTCAGTAGGAGATGTATCAGCGCAACTAGTGGATTAAGGCGCTTAATCTAGTGGAATTCCTTACTTCCCCACCATACGATGACTTTATACAACCTATGATGGAGGATGATGATGAAGAGTAGTAGGAATGAATTTATCATTCTTTCTGACTCTATTACTTGGATGCTAGCTCTATCTCTATTTTGTTAAGTTAATGATTTGGATACTATTTATGTTGTTGTGTTATGTTGGTTTGGATATTATTCTGTGGATGCTACTCTATTGTCATGTGTATGCGATGTTGGTGGATTACTCTTAATGTTAAGGTTTTTTTTTTTCTTAATAGTTCTGAGATGTATTGCTTCCATGATTCATGTTAGTTTGGATATTTATGCTTTTCTGTTATGTGATTCATAGTTTATAGTTCCCATCAACACATGATACTCTACTGTACTTCTTAGACTTAATTTTTTCATGTTTCACATGTCATGTTTTTGTTTTGGGGGGGTGGGTTAGCCCAATTTTCAATATTAATTACATGGACTCTATGTAGTGTGATAATACACAGAGTAGACTTAAAAGCAAAGAAATTTTTTCATAGAGATTGAATTTAGTTGATTTAATAATAACTAATATCATATTTAAATTAATTCTTTTTTTATCATAAAAGTTCTTAAACACCTAAGGAAGATAGTTTATAATTATAATTATTTAATCAATTATATCTAATTCATTTATTATCAATTCTAAATGAACTAATTGAAATTTAATTTTAAATGAATTATAACAATTTGTGAAAGAAAATTAAGATGTGATTAAGAAATATAGAATAGAGAGGAATAAACATTCAAAACAAAAATTAGTTTGATCAAATATAGTAATTCTCAACGAATGAAAAAGTCAAAAGAAAAAGATGAAGACCAAAGAAAAAAGAGCGGACTCTAAGAATAAAAAAAAGAATATTTTAGAGTCTTTTGAGAAGAAGTTTGAGGCTAAACATAAAATTTAAAATTGACGTCCTAACTCTTTTTTGTTTTTAAACTTAAAACCTTTCCTAATTGTGTTCCCAAATGTTATATAAAAAAAAAAAAAATGAAATTAGGATTATTTTGATTGATAAGTTATTTGATTTAAACACACCTTTGATAAAGGAATTAGATTTTGTCAAGCTACATTAAGCTATTTAAGTTCTTTTGTGCTAATTAGTTGATTAATTTAAATAGTTTTAAATTTTTTAAAATTAATAAGATTTCAATCCTTTATTAATATTTTCACACTTTTATAAATTTATGACGTTGTTCATGTCCAAGAAATCTTCAAGGTGTGTTATTAAATAACCTTTACACAAATCTAAAATTTCGATATCAGACACTTATGGGCAAGTAATATGTAGGTTTGTGAAAAGTTAATGTGAAATAAAAATACAGTTTAATGTGATATAAATTATGTGTTTTATTGTTATTTATCCTAGTTTTATGCTTGTGGCAGGTGGAATTTGTTGTCTTTTGTAGGAAACATGTGTGGAGCAAGCTTAAAGGAGCAAAAGAGGCAAAATGAGTGCCTATGTGTTAAATAAGAGCCACAACACCTGCTTTGGGTGCTTGAAGATATAGTAACATGCGCCCAGGTGCCAGTTTTGGGCGCATAGGGGCCTAAAGATGAGCAACTGGCACCCAAACGCCAGTTATGGATGCCTAAGTGCCTTAAACAATCTAAAATTTTTTGAGCAAGCAGAAACCCAACACTCAAGTGCCATTATGTGCAAGATTACGGTTCAAGACATTTATTTCACGCCGTTTTGCGCAGTTTGGCTTAAATTTGTCTAATACAAAGAATCGAGGACTTTTGGCGGATTTTGGCGGTTAGCGAATGAGACAGCACAGAACACGAAGAGAAGAAGCAAGTGCGTGAGGATAGTGGCTCTTTAAATGTAATTGTGAGGTCTTCTGAGCGTTCCACTAAGATTGTAAGTAAAGAGTGAAAACGTGTAATTGCAAAAAGGAAGAAATTTAGTGGAGCGAGCAAGCGATCGAGTTTAAATTGTTCTAACTTTTTGTAATTTTCTTTTATGTTTGCAATGAAAGTGTGTGATTTTTTTATAATGTGTAGTAACTAAATTGCATTTCTCTCTTGAGCGACATGTATACATGCATGGCTGTTATGTGCTTCACAACATTTTGGGCATCAACCAACAGAGAAATATCGGTGGGATAAATTTTGGTGATTACAGAGGACAACGAGGCAGAAGAGCCGGTTTCAAACATAAGACAATTAGTATAAAGAGAGTTTCAGGACATTCTTTTCGATAGCTTCCTGCCATAGCTCCACCATTTAGGGAGATTCAAGTTATCCTCACTTCAGAGAGGGTTGAGTCAACCGTGGGCTACTTTTGGAGGATTCAACAAAATATAAATGGCACAAACTCCCAACTCAGTTCGGTGGTGTATCCCTAGAAGGTTGGACTGATATGGATGTATGCTTGCAAGTGGGAAAACTCGGGTGTTTTGGGAGCCAGTCCAACCAACAGTGGGATCTAAGTCATCATATCAACGTGCAGACAAAAGCTTTGACGCATGAGGTAAAAAATCTCCCAATCCGGAACTCTGAACCAGCACTGTGGCTTCCTCCGATATAGCATACGCGAAAAAGGATGCTAAGACTTTCTTCAGTTCAACAGACATGGGAAAGGAGCTGATTGACCCTATCTGGGCCTGAATCTGCCGCACATAGGAGTGAGGCCCGCTCCTTTGTTATCATAGGTCTATATATGTTGATGTTGTCATGCTTATGTCAGTTTTTTATTGTTTTTTTGTTAGGACAGCCGTTGGAATCTCCTATTTTCACTTCTAGGGTTGTATTCAAGGATGAGTGGTGCTTCGACTGTATCTTGTTCTGAGGTGGTATTTATCCGAGGGTCAAGTGGTGCTTTGACTATATCTCACTCCTGAGGTGGTATTTATCCTCGACTCCCTCCTTCCTCTGTAAACCTCTCTTTGCTATCGTCGTTTTTGTCCTTATTGTAACCCCCATAAATAGTCCTCTTGGCTATTCTCCCTGCAGTTCCCCCACCTCCCAATGGCCATTCGTCTGCCATCCTAGTTGTCTCCTCGCTCAACCATCCTAGTACCTTCCCCCACCTCTCATTCTTCCGCCTCCCCGTCGCCATTAGGAAAACATCAAGCTTGTTGATTTCCTGTTGTTCTTTAGCTGTTCCGGCAATTCCCATTGCACCTTGCAACAAAGCTTGCTGCCCAAATTGCTGTCCTTGCTGTCCCTGTCTTCCCATTTGATACTTTTATCCCCTTTCGCTACGTTGCCGCTGTTCCTTGGGAGTCTCGCACAATTCTGCCATGCCGCCAACTTTCCGGACCCCAACAACCACAATCACCACCTTCGATTCACCCTAGTTGTGTGTGTTGTAATCTCTTATTTCAGTAGTCTGGTTGTAAGTTCCTATTTGATTGCAATTAAATATTTGCTTTCCTATTGTTGTTTGGGATAACTTTGATATGGCCTAGTGCCCCCATTGGCTTCACCCATGTTTTGAAATAACTTTAAAATATAGGTTGGAGTTAACTTGGAAGCTGAAGGCCTAGGTTGAGATGACCTTTGTTTTGTTATACAATGCAAACACATGCAATGCTGATTTAGGTTTTCGTTGGAGGTTTGCTTAATTTAGTGTAGTGGTGGAAATGAGTCAAACCAAGCTCGAATCATGCCTAACTAGAGCTCTGCTTGCTAATCAAATCACAAGCATAAACTCAAGCTTGAGCTTCAGTTGAGCTCAAAGAGCTAGCTTAAGCTTGGCTTGCATCAATAACAGCAAGCTTGCGAGCAGGCCCTTGAGCTCAAGCCAAAGTAGAAGTTGCCATTGTAGCTCGTCGGAGAAGGCATTAATGTGGTCAACGGCTAAAAGAAAACTGAATAGCCAATGGAACTCACTGAAGAAGGCATTGGCATGACCGGTGGCTGGATATATAATTCGTTTAATGTATGTGCTTGAGCTTGACTTGTGATAGCTCACTAGCAAGTTGATTTTGAGCCGGTTCGCCCAATCAATTGTACATTCATTCAGGAAGTAGGACTAAAAGCTGTTTGTTTTATTCAGCATGGTAATTAATACGGGCAGCGGATGCAACTATTTGGATTCATTTTTTTGTTATCTGGGATAATTTTATTAGCTTCTAAAAATTGAGGAAGACGTTTTTCTTCCCGTTTCTTTTGACAAGTAACGGAAATAAAAACTATCTTGGAATACTTTTTATGCAGTACATCACTATTTTTTAAGCAATTAGTGGTATTCCTAATCTATTTTTTATTTGCATAGTCCTGTGCCATTTTTAGTGTAAATAATGTAGTATTTGTACAAAATATTTGAAAAGCAGTACTTGTATAATATTGCTTTAATATTATCAAATAAATTTTGTTTTTGCAGATATGTCAAATCTACAAATGAATCATCCTGAAGCTATAACTGCTAGGACACCTCTATGCAAGTAAGTTCTGAGCGAAAACCAATTATTCTGATCCCATCTGCAGTATGATCATGTTCATATGAAATTTATCGCTGAAATCTATCGTCATGATCCACAATAATGCAGCTAAGAATTTAAGTGAGAGGTGGTGGAAAGGCTTACCTAAATATTTTGGGGAGTTAAGGGTAAAACATTTATTTTAAATGTAGACTGGAACCAGGTTAAGTTCAGCCCTGGAATTTTAGATTTCTCTATTAAGCATAGAAAATTGAGTTTTTTTTTTCTATATAATTTAAGCTATTTTGTAATTTTGCCATCTCTCAATAAACTTTTTGCTCAATATAAAAAATTACATATTTGATAATTTTGCCCTCCCTTAAGAATGATGTTTGGTCCGCCCCTCTCCCAGACTCTTTGTATTCACAACTGCTGTCTCTTTATTCCTTACATCCATCCCCACTTTCGCCTCATCCTACATTGGCATGCTTTGGATCATTCTGTCCTATAAATGCCGACGTCTTATGCGTGTTTGTTACTTTCCAGCATGTGTCTACAGTAGAGTATAATTGTTTTTGTTAATCTTGATCTTCTAGTGGTTTATAATTTTATTGTACTTTGCTTGGGACTCGGCTAAGACTTATGCATGATTACAGTGGTTGTTATGAAAAATTGGTGGATTATCTCCTTTACTGGTTCCGAATAACACTGCCTCCTCATGTAAGTATTCAACACTTTATTTGTAGAAACATTTTACGTAGCAATACCATTTTTTATTTTTGTGATACTCAGGTGTAATACTTAAATTTGCAAGTTGCCACTGCTTTTTTGGTAATTTGTTTTTCTTCAACGATTGTATTATTGAACTTTTCTCAATACTGGTGGAAATATCAAGAAGGATTATATATGAACTTATTTTTCTGAAAAAAGGCTGTATTTTCTTTTTTTCTTTTTTTGGCTTTGAAAGAAGAAGGTAGAATAAAAGATGAATATCGGTCAACTCTGGTAACAAATCGTAGATTGGGCACTGTAATTTGGGAACTTGATTGACAATTGGAAAAGGAAAGCAAGTCAGCATTAAACCCATTGTTTACAAATCACCGCACCCCACCCCAACCTCGCCCCTTTTTAATTATTAGAATTATATCTGGCACTCATAAACTCTTCCCGACAACTTATTAATGTGCTTTGGTTACAACTAATAGACAACATTTACAATTCCAACTGAGTTATATTTGATATCACCATCAATGCTAATTTTTTCTTTTCATCTTTTGGACTTTTTTGTATTACCTCACATGACAACTCGACTCGAACCTGACTCAAAAAAATGAGGTTCATAATTAACCCGAATTTACCCAAATAAACTATTATGTATATGTTAAATGGGTTATGCAGGTCAGTCTCAGGTCAATCGGTTTGAAGGTGAGTCGTGCTCGGGTTAAACTATTTGACCCATTTAATGTTTGAGTTGGGTTCAGGTCGAGTAATTTTGTGTAGAGTCAATTTTGGGTCAATATATACCCACCCGTGAACTTGATTTGACACCCCCAATTCAAGTTTTAGAATATGCATTGAACCCACCAAGTAGGCAACCAATTACTAGTTATATTGACATCATATTTAAAAAACAATGATATGTAGATGATGATTGGCAAACCGGCCTAATATTTGTCAAAACATCAGTTGGGCTAACTAAACGTTTCTCTTTGATGATAATTCTATTAAATTTATTCTTTAGGTATTGATTATTGTAGTTTTTGAAAGGGGAAAAGTAATTATTGCTTGAACTTCATAGAATAATGATTACAAGTTAAAAAAAGAGGATGACTCCCATATTGAGAAAATAATAATATCCCCCATAACTCCCCCTAATAAAAGAAAGAAGCATGAATTATAACATGCCAATAATAGAAGATACTAAAATAGAAATTATTAATAATAGAAGATACTAAAAATCCAAGACACCCCCTCAAGTTGGAGCATTGATATTGTAGTGCCCAACTTGCTTACAAGAATCTCAAAATTTGGCTTGAACAGTTCTTTGGTGAAGATATCTGTTATTTGTTGAGAAGTAGACATGCAAATAGCTCCACAATCATTATTCTCTTTTATCAAATGTGACACGAGAGCTATCTGAGAGGCCTGTTTCCATGTCCCTGCTATATTTCTGTGCCCGTTTCCCTGATCTGTTATAGCCTCGCGACCATGCGGGCTTCCATTTTAGTTTTTACTGTTGTTTCCTGTAGTTCTACCAATTCCAACCACCTCCCTCCATTCCCAGGCCTGTTGCCGTCCAACACAGCTGGCCTCCACTCTTCCAGAACCATTCCGCCAACTTCACTGCTATCACCCAGAGTTGTTGTCCAACCTGCTGTTCTGTCATTTCAGCTTTCATTCCGACTTGCTGCATCATATCTTGTGGACCCTTCATTCCCCGCTTGCTGCCAATTGCCGCAATACTCTTCCTCGTGCTGCCGTCAATAGTAACAACCAACCTGCTGTTCTTTGCCCTCTCATAGCCGCCCTATATTTTTTTTGCCGTCCCAAAACAAGCTCTCCATACGCCTTGCTGTAACCGTCACCCTCCCGCACTCTTCCCACAATTGCAACCATCTAACACCCTTTTCTAGTCCTTGCCGATCACCATCATTACGGGAGCTGACCCTAGTGTGAGTTTATATTTCATGTTGTTATATTTGCACTTTCAAGCATATTTGGTTGTATCTGTCTATTTGTTTTCAATAATAATATTTATTTTTGGTGTTTTTTGGGATTACTCCGATATCATTTAGTATCAGAGTCAGCATAACCCTAGTCCTATCCTAGTGTTCCTAGCATTCACCACTACTCAACCCTACCTTAACCCAAAAATTTTTTTCCCAGCCTACATCACCCTTACACACTTCTTTCCACCTACCCACACACAAAACGTGAATCATACTATGAAGGAGGCAATTGCCAGAACCTCACCAGAAGTTCACCAAGGAATAGATATATCCGCAGCTCCGCCGAGTGCTACAGAAGCTTGATGAAATTGAGGAAAGGATCTAGGGTTACTTATGAGCGTGGTAGTGAGATCCGAAGAGGAGAGAGGAACACTTGAATCCCTTCAGTAGGGATGATTCCGGTGGAAAAGAAGACATGCCACAATGCTTTGGGATACCATATCAGAGGAGGTCTAGAGATGAAGCACCTGTTAGATATTTTAGGGATGAAGAACCTCTACTCTGAAGATTTGCCCTGAATTATTTGAAAAGCCAGGATTTTGAATTAAAGGTGGATTTACCATATTTTGACGATCACTTAGATCTGGACGAGCTCACTGAGTGACTCCAGACTATGGAAATTTTCTTTGAGTACCGGGACCTCCCACCCGACAGAATGGTGAAGCTATGTGTCGACAATTTAAAGAAGAGTGTATTATTTTGGTGGTAAAATTGCCTACACTAGCTTGAGGGAAAGATAAGATCACTATTTAGTCCCAAATAAAATGAGAGATGCAGCGCCAATACCTATCAATTCATTACAAGCAGAATGTGCAGACCTTAGCTTTAAAATGAAGAGAAGATTGCCGAATGACCACCACATCTTACAGACAGAGTTTATCCAAATTTTCTTATAGGAAGACCAGAACAAACGATCAAATGGTGGGAACTAAATTTTTTATATTCTTCTATAATTTAACAAATAAAAGAATCACTAATTAAATTAAATCAAGCAATATATTTAAAATTATCTCGTTACTATTTGTCCACATCTTCTATAAACGTCATCTCTTCTAACGCTCATTGTTTATCACTTAATTAACACGAAAAAGTTAATTTAAAATAATGAGCTAAATAAGCCAGTGAATACTCTTACTCATAAACCACATTGCTAAAAGATAAAAGGAAGTAATATGCATGCCAGTCAAGCTTTTAATAAACCAATAAAATTATTTGATGCTATTTAAAGAAGCTTACTATATCAATAACATATCAATATCATACTATATCTGTAGAATTGTCACATGAGCACCGTCTAAAAATTATATTAATTAAGACTCATCAATATCAATATTTTTTTCTATATACGTACACATGTGTATTAGTGTTCCACCACTAGTACCATAAATGAGTGACTTCACTATAGTCAGTCATGTACATATAAGCAGTTAACATAAACAAATCATTCATGTATTCATCACATTCAACTCAACATACTATATGAAACATACACCAAATGCATGAGAGTAAGTAGCCATAACATTTGTAACAATATGATCACAACAACAAGCCTTTATCCCACTAAGTGGGGTTAGCTATATGAATTTTTTTTTCTCCATTGTCCTATCGAGTGTCATATTTTCATTTAATTCTAATAAATTAATATAATTTTTTATACAATATGCCTAAGTCTTCTAGGTCTACCTATGCCTTTCTTAACGTAAGTCAAATTTAAAACATCTACTCTCCAAACCAGATCATTAGATGGCCGACGTTTACTGTGACCAAACCATCTAAGACGACTCTTTTTAATTTTATCTGCCATTGGAGCTACACTTGCTCTACGTCAACCCTTTCACAGATATATTCATTTCACATTTTGTATCTAAGTGTCAAGCCACTCATCTCCTTAAGCATTCTCATCGCAGCAACACTTAACTTTGTTTTATACTTCTCTTTTAAAGGCAAACATTCTGCGCCCTAAAGCGTTGCATATCTCACCACCATCTTATAAAATTTTCCTTTCAATTCAAGCGGTGCTTTTCTATCACACGATATGTCCGATGCATTCCTACGCATTCCTAGTCCGATGCATTCCTACACTTCAACCAATCAACTTGAATTCTACTAATAACATCCCCATTTATATCACCATCACTTTGAACAATAAACTCGAGATATCTAAAGTGTTCGCACCTTTTAATGATTTGATCACCCATAGGCACAACTCTGCCACTAGAGCTATTACTAAAATTATGTTCCATCTATTCAATTTTAATTCTACTCAAACGAAGACGTTTAGTCTCCAATGTTGACCTCCATAATTCAAGTTTTTCCTAAACCCTTTATCTAGTCTTATCCACAAGAAGGATATCATCAACGATAAACATACACCAAACATCCATAACTAAAGCAAAAAATGGGGCTTAAAGTTGATCCCTGATGTAATCCAACTGACTTAGGAAAATATTTGGTCAATCCTCCCGTTCGAACACTAGTAACAACTCTAGTATACATATCTTTAATGACTTGAATATAAGTCGTATTAACACCTTATCTAGAACTCTTTATAGGATTTCTCTTAGAGCCGTATCGTATGTTTTTTTCTAAATTAATAAAAAGCATACGTAAATTCTCTTTATTCTCCATCAAACTTCTCAATAAATGTATAACATTCATGGTAGACCTCCCTGACATAAATCCAAATTGATTATGAAAAATCTTTGTAATACATTTTAATCTATGTTCAATTACTCCCATAATTTTAAAGTATGACACATCAACTGAATTCCTTTAAGCATTCCTTTTATTCTTAAAAATAGGGACCAAAATACTCTTCCGCCAGTCCTCACACATCTTTTAGTTTTTAAAATAATATTAAAGAGTTTAGTAAGCCAAGAAACTCTCAAATGTCCTAAAATATTTCCACACTTCAATTGGGATATCATTAGGTCCCACTGATTTTCCACCATTGATTTTATTTAATACCTCAACTTCTTTTTTACTAACGCG